ATGAAGGTGGCGGCCATGATGGGAACAAAAATCTGTGGTTTGAAAAGAATTGAAAAGCAACAAAAATAATAATAATGAAGATAATCTGGGAGCAGTTTTTTTCATTGCAGTAACAGGGTTTTGGTGGGAATGAGGGTCAGAAGAGGTCAATATTTTCTAAAGAATATATATTTTATAAATAAATACTTTTTTGGATTTTGCTTTAAATTAAAAAAAAAATATTTAAAAAAATTTAAAAAAATAGTTTTTATAAAAATACTTTATGTATTTAATTAAAATATATTTTTTTAAATTTATTTTATTCAGATAAAAAATATTAATATTTCTTCCTAAAAGTATGCACCAAACATTGAATTAATGAAATGAGGATCATATGACTGGCCAATAGGTCTTATATTTCAAATTTAAAAAAATACTAATAGAAATATTTTTTTGGATTTTTTTAAATTAAAAAAAAATAATGGAAAATTTAAAAAAAAATATTTTTTATAAGAATATTAATATATTTTTTATAAAATTTTATATATTTAATTAAAATATATATTTTTTTAAATTTATTTTATTCAGATAAAAAATATTAATATTTGTTCCTAAAAGTATGCACCAAACATTGAATTAATGAATTGAGGAGCATATGACTGGCCAGTAGGCTTTATTTTTTTTATATAAAACTCTAAATTTGATGCAATAAACCATTTATTTGTGGCATTCAAATGATTTGTCCCTGAAGAATCAATGCCAGAATCACCTTCAACTTAATTACTAAGTTCTATTATTAGGTTCTTCTTCTTCTCAATTTCAAATTTTATTATTTGGTTCCTCATTTATTTGAAATTAAATATTCCAAAAAGAAAAGTAACCCACCAACTGTGTGTTTGTATGTGGAACCGCAAAATGAGTTTGAAACTCGTTCATCATTCAACCATACCAAAAAAACATTACAGACCTTTGCCATGGTGCTGATGATGAGCCTGACAATGATATGCCATGCCATGACTGAGTGTTTGCTTCAAAAAAAAAAAAAAGTCTAGTTACAACACCTTCCCAACAACTTATGTGAGCATTTACCCATGGTCCAACTTCTAGAGATCCCTACCATTCAAGCCATAGCCCATGCCTAGCATGATGGTGGTAAACTTGTCTCCTAATAAAGAACTCAAATTGGCGCGTACATATTCTACTTGTGGCCAGTTAAATATATGCGGACCTGGGTGCCGGTGGATGGTCGGTTCGTTGCTTGCCTGCCTGGCCAAGAATCCCAGAAAACAGCAAGAGTTCAATGAATATTCCAAATGGTTTTATGTGTGTCTGTCCGAAGTTCTGTTTTTGTTGCTGGAAAAATGTTAAGCGTGTTCGTTTGGGGCCTGCATGCGTGTGATCATAATATGAATGTCATTTCACAAAGCTCAAGCTCGAAAAATAAGAGGCGACAATGTCAGAAAAGTGCAACGACAATGAATGTGTCTTTGGTCCAGGTTATAAAAAACGTACCACAACAACAACAACAAAAAACATCATGTAATATACAAAATAAACTTCAACCTCCTGTGGTGTAAAGTTGACGTACGATCATGTGGCGGCCATATAAAATGATGCCAAGAAATGAACGAAGGAGAAGAAAAAACCCAAACAAACTTTCAAAACTTAAATGAGCAGATATCAAATCATGGAAAAAAATCCAAAGAATTTTTAATCAAGCTTCGGTTCAATTTAGAATTCTCGTGTTTAGGCAATTATCAGTCATTCTAGCTTATCAAAAAAAAAAAAATTGGTATTTAGAATTAAATGCCATAACAAGCAAAATTTTATTTGAAATCGAGGTCCCCCGAACCAAAAACAAGAAATGTCACTCAAATCCGCGTGTGAGTGTGTGTCTGGCTCAAGATTTGCATAATTTCGTATTTGGGCCTTCTTTTGTCTTGTCGATCTCTCTCACAATCAAAAAAAAAAAAAAAAATTGTCTTGTCTCGTAAATTTGTGGATAAAAATACTTTACGTTGTGGATTTTTATTATATGGACCCATTCAGCCAAGCATTCATCTCATAGTGTGTCCTTCCATCCTCCTTCCTTACCAATCTACTACGATATTCATATTTGTGTATTTCTTCTTTTTTGTCTTTAAATGATTTGCGTGTCGTATTTTCTTCTTTTCGTTTTGTCTTGCGTCTTGGCGTGCCATAAATTTGCCAAATTTGACAATTATGAGCGTTAATAATAAATAAAATTGACAATCAATATGGAGATTTCAGTTTTATTAATACGGCATGCAGATGTCGTCTCTGCATTTAAGGGGTTAGGGGAAAGGGGAATGGTTGCAAGTGAGCAATACAAATATTGCATATTATTTTGGGATTGAGTTTATTTTTTTTTTCGAAGTAAAACAATCGTCAAGGTGCCAAAACATATGTTGTTGGTTTTGGCCTAAAGACTTAACGTCAATTGAGGAGGTTGACACAAATTTCACAGGGGACATAAATTAAAAGATTTGCCAGTACAACAAATCAGTGAATTATTTTTTATATAAAGAGAAAGGTTGGAGAGACATTAGGTTAAAAAGAATTAATGACTTTTTATATATAGTAAAAAAATAATTAACATCTGATCAGATGACCCCTAAAAGTATGCAGGAGGATCTTGAAATGCAAAAAGGAAATTGTGTGTATTTTTGTTTACAAATTAAAACAAATTGTAAAGATCTGAAAACCTTAATTGAAATAATTATTAAGCCTGTAATTAAAAATAATTTATAATTTTTTAATAAATAAAATACATAAAATCTGATCAGATGACTCCTAAAAGTATGCAGGAAATCTTCAAATTCAAATACGACATTTTTGGTAATTTTTTTTAAATAAAAAAATGTAAAGCCCTAAAAATAAAATTCAAAAAATTGTTAAGCCTATAATAAAAAACTGTTATTTAGAGAAAAACACACCAATGACTCCCTAAAAGTATGCACTGGACATTGAAATACAATTGGAATTTGTCTGTACAATTTTTTAATAATTAAATGGGAGAGACTTTAGCAAATTATGAAATTATTTTTTTAATAAATTATTCAAATAAATAAATATTAAATATTAACTTCAATGGCTCCTAAAATTATGCAGGGAACATTGAAATAATAACTCCTCTTCTCCTCTTCCTCTTCAGGGAACCTTAAATCGCAAATAGAAATGTCTGATTGTTATTTTCATGATTGATTTTAAATGCAAATAAGTTTTAACAATTATTAGAATTATTTTTTTAATAAACTATAAAAAAAATAAATTCACTGAAGGGGAAATAATTATTAAAAAATTGTCTAAAGGGCTCCCAAAAAGTATGCACAGGATTTTAAAATACATATAGAAATGTTCGATTAATTTTTTAATAATTTAATAAATAATATTTAAATTATATATATAAAAATTAAATTATATTTAAATGATAAAAAAATTTTTTTTTTTTTTAATTGAAAAAAACCGTTTTAAAAAATCCTCCTAAAAGTAGGCACCACTTTTTGGTATTTGCTATTATTGATAATTAAAATTATTATTTTTTTGAAATAAAAATTAAAATTGAATTATTTTTGAAGGAATTTGTTGTTGTATTTTTTTTTAATTTCGAGTAATGATTCCAACCCAGTTTATCATCCTTGAAATGGGCTCAAACCAAAAAAATATTTCTTTTAAATAATTTTAATGTATTTTTGTTTTTTTTATTTTATCTCCTACGGCTTATTGCAAAAAATTCAAGACCCTACAGATTTCACAGGAAATCTCAAAACAATTTTTTTTGTTGTTGTTGCGAATGTTTTTTCTCTTTAGTTTGTTGAATACAATATTAAGATTTAGTATTTTGCCAAAAGGTTTTATTTGTTTCGAGAAAAAAACATCTACAAAAAATGGTGAGTTTTGTTGAAAAAACACCCGCAACCTTTTGCTCACATCACATTTTGCGGAAAGATTGTTTTCTGGCTGTCTGTCCGTCTGCCGATATTGGGATTTAAAGATGGCATAACTTCATAACAAATCCTTCAACTCATGGCAGCATTGCGAAAAAATGAAGCCTTTAGCCTCAAGAAGTGAAGTTTTTTTAGGTTAAGCCAGTCAAACAGCCAACCATCATTTGGTAGATGGAAACGAAAAAAAAAATACACGCAGCAGCATCATCATCTCAGAACCAAAAAAAATTAAAAAAAAAATAAGAGACACCCAAGACCTTTACGCACCATCCTCTATAATAATGATAAGCGGGTTTTTAATCAGAAAATTTATATGTTTTTTTTCTGGCTTTGATTTGGCATTTTGTGGCCTGGGTTCCCAAAAAAAAAAAATAATCAGACATACCCAGGCTTAGTTACTTACAATCGCGCAAAGATATGTTTTTTGGTTGTTGTTGTTGGTTGTGGTGAGCCTGATGGTTTCATATCTTGTGCTTGGTTATGATGAGGATGATGATGGTGTTGCTTGGCTGTTCGGTATCTGTTGACCATATTATTGGCCATCATTTTTTTGTCGTTTTTTTTTTCTCTCCTGAGTACAATTGTCTGTCCATTTGAAACCCAAAAGAAGAAGGTTTCATTTTTTTTTATTTCTTTGGATTTTTTCTGGCAGGAGAATCCGCAGCATAAGACGAAGTCTCAAAGAAGAAGATGATGATGATGGGTTATGGTTGATCATATAATTATATAGACTGTCAATGTAAGTTAAATGGAAACGCTAAATTTCAATGATTGGGAGTTTCGTTACTATTACTTCTACTCCACCTCCTTCTATTCTTCGTCTTGTAATAGGAACTATAATTAGGGGAATTGATCACAGCCATCGATATTGTAGTTAATTCGAAATAAAAAAATATTCCTAGCTAAAGAAAGTCAAGCAGCTGTTATCCATTTTTTTTTTGTTAAACAAATAATAATTATATGGTGTTTTGTGTAATTTTTGTTATAAGAAAATAAGTTTTTGTTTGCATTTTCATATATAAGAGAGAAAAATAATATTTATTTTAAGCTTACCGCTTGCACTTGTGCCGTAATTGTCTGCAAGGAGAGAGAGAGAAAAACAAACAAATCAAAATAATTTTTTTTAAAATAGGAACTCATTTATTAATTATAATTTTTATAATTCCTAAGAAATTAATTTCCTACATAGAGAAAAACAGGTGTTGCATTTTTCATAAAATTATTTTTTTTTCTGTTTGATTATAGTGTGGAATCTCTGGACCCCTCAAAAACCCATTTATCATTTAAAGAAATTCTTGCCTGTCTAAGTTTTTTCTCATTTGTTTCTGGTATTTCATAATTTGTTGTTAAATGTTTTCGATATTGCATGCGTAAATTTTTTTTTCGAAAATCTAAGCCATAATTTAAACGATGATTAAAAAACACAAAAATCCCTAACATTGTTTTTTTCTACAAAACTGCAAATGAAATCATTCAAAAGAATACAGCCATTGAGGAAACATTTTAAACATTTCGCCCCAAAAGCCATCAATCAAATTTTTAGTTTTGAAAAAAATAACACATTTTTCTCAGAGGAGTTCATAAAAAAACAAAGTTGGCATTTAACAGCTTTTTTGGGGAAATGCGAATGTGAATCATAATCCTGAAGGGACAAACAACCAAGAAAAGGAAAGAGATTCACACAAATTACATTTTTTAATTTATAAAAAATATAATTTTAAACCTAATAATAATTAAAAAAATGATTTGGATTTAAAGCTTACACCATTAGCTTTCAAATAAGACCACGATCTTCCAAATATTCCAACTACTTCAAAATATTTTTTAATCATTCGATAACCTCAAAAAATGTATTTGGTTTACAAGTTTTTGTAACTTTTCTAAATTCAATTTTTCGCCAATATTTGTAATGAAAATCCACCATAAAATAAATTGTGTGTTAAATTTCAAATCCTGAGCTTTCATATGCCACCTTCATATCGAAAATATATCGACTATAACTATTTTTAAAAAATAATTGAAATCGGCGAATTTCTCAAAAATTCCAAAAATTGATTTTTGTTCTTCTTATCGAATTTTTCAATGGGATCTATAACAGAACATACTTAGTTTTATATTTTTCTATAAAACCTTAATATCTTAGCTTTCCAACAAGATATTGATGTTTTAAAAATTCGAACTAGAACTATTTTTAAATAATTTTTTACCATTAAGAAAATATCAAAACATGTTTTTTTCTTTGGACACTTTTGTACACTTTTCTTATGTTTATTTTCGCCACATTTTCTTGTAGAAATCTATTTAGAAATAATTTTATTTTAAATTTCAAACCTTTAGCTTTCCAATGCCACCTTTATATCAAAAAAATTGTACGAAAAGTATTTTTAAATAATTTTTTTAAAGTTCGTCCATTTGCAAAAAATTGCTGAATTCAATTTTCATTTTCATGCCAATTTTTCTTAAAGATATGTAAAGGCTTTTTATTTATTTGTTAATTTTATATTAAACCCTAAAGTCTAGCTTTCATATGAGACCTTAATCTCCCCAAAATTCAAAACGTAACTATTTTTAATTAATTTTTTAAACAATTTACCCTCTATTAATAATAGTCATACGCTCCCAGGTTCGGTAAATTTCATTTCCTCAATTTCTTGGCTTTATGACTAAATTTTCTTAACTTTTTTGATTTAATTGTTTAAAACAGAAACTCTACTTTATGTATTTGTAAACATTTTATAAAAATTAAAGGTATTTTCTGTTTGTTTTCAATTTTTTTTCTTGGAAAAAGCACGGGTGTTGTGAAAAAAAAAATCTCAAGGCTGTTTACCCACAAGTGTTGTAAAATATGGCCATTACACTTTTCAGTTTGGCAAATTGGTAATGTCATTTGTCAACTCCAGAAACAGCAACAACAACAAAAATAAAAACCATTAAATGTGACCTTCTACGTGTATGAGATACTAAGGCAACTTAACAACTTTCTTGTTGTCTTTTTGGAACCCGGGATTTTGTTTTTATTTTTTCAGGTCTGTCCGTCCGTCTGTCTTTAACAATTTTTGCATACATAAAAATATACAAATGCCAAATAGGCGCGATGCATAATGCATTTTAAATTTGTTTCTTTCTGCTATGACTACTGGTTGTTGGTCGGGGCTGGCTGGCAAAGATGACAATGGCCATATATACTGATGATGATGATGACGACGATGGTTGGTGATGACAATGATGGCCATGGTGGTAAAAATGACTGGTTGGTTTGGCGGCTTGACGAAAAAAAAACCCAAAGCAACTTTGGTTTTGTGAAATTGCAACCAAAAGTGAATTAAGAAAACAATAAACGTAATGAATTTCGAAAACAACGAATAAATGTTGAATGGCAAACAACAACGACGACGACATAGCTCTGCAAAATAATTTCAGTCAGTTGTCAGTTTGGAGCAGTTAAGTCCCGTCATCGTCGTCGTTTTTTGTGTGACAATCCATACACGTATTTCATTTAAAGCATCTTAGAATATTAAAATGGGATCAAATGCTTTCTTAAGCACTTAAAGGAGTCCAACAAAAAAATGTTTAAATCCAAAACAATTTTAATATGCTAAAAATGTTCCTGAGGCAGAGAACAAAAATAAAAAAACTTTTGTACATTCCTTTGATTGAAATCCATTTCGTTGTAAACGTTTTGTTAAACAACCTCAGAGTTTTTTTTTCGATTTGAAAACTATTTAAAATGCTACAAAGGATTTTCGTTTTGGACAAAAATGAAAATTACTTGAAAATATTCCCGGCTTAATCACATCACATACATTTCACACAGAAACACAGGGCCAAAGAATTAAAGCTTAAGCTTAATCTTGGAGGAGAAAAAAACGGAAAATTAGCAAAAAACCGAAATTAAATTTCAGAAAAAGACCCCAAAACGAGGAGATGATGAAGAAGAGGACACACAATCTTTACATTTAAGACGATTATTTATGAACTGCAAGCCAAGTGTCATGTGATGCTTACTTAACGCAAGCTTGTTGCTCTTTTTATGGCCTGGCCTGGCTTGAAAACCAGCAAAGCCCCCCATGACCTGTTTGCTTGGTTGTTTTTGGGGCCACAGCCACCACACCATCATTGCCTTGCCATAGAGAGGCTGCATATCCGCCACATCATCATCATGGGTTTCATTTATACGGGTATAAATGTTGTTTATATGTTAACAAACGTGTATCAATGCATGTTCAATAACTTTTAAATGACAAAGAAATCAAAATGAATGAAAGTCTTAAAGACGTCTCCTCACCAAACAAAAAAATCGATGGCATACGCATCAGTCCCCAACTCCTCTCCTCCTCATGGTTATTTTTAATTTTCTTTCATTGAACGAAGAAGCTACACCAGAAAAAATATCGACCTCCAAACAGCTCACGACAAAAAAAAATCCCGCAAGACTTTAGCTCATTTCTACTGCAAGTGATATCCCCAAGTGATTTTAAGGTGTGTTTCAGGAATTTTTTACCAACTTCTTCGAGGTTTTTTTTCACCCAGACAACGGATCGGCGGCGGCAACAGCTCATCATCGTCATCATCAGTTCTACATTGGAGTTGTGTTAATTCCAATTCATAGTCAACATTTTCAACTACTGCAAAACTTAAAGACTTAATGTATTTGAGGAAAAAAAGTGTACAAAAAAAAAAAGAAATTGAAAATCCATTGCCAACAAAAATCCTCAAGTGAAACTTATGGACTTCATCATCTTTTGGATGGCGGATGATTGTTAAGCCAGCCAGACCATGTTCGAAAAAAAGATGCGTGGCTGATTTGACCAAAACCTAAGCCAAGCAAAAAATATATCTCTCCTAGCATCAGTAGAGAAACGAAACGAAAAAATACCAAAACATTCAGAATTCATGTTGATCATCTTTAAACATCATCAGTAACTCCAAAAAAAACAAAACGTATCGCATTTCATTGAAGCGCGAAATTATCAGCAGGGATGGCTAGGGGATTTTTGGTGTAGCATTAAAAATAAATACCAAAAACAGAACAGAAAACTCAAGGATATTAAAATTAAACAAAAAATGGAAATTATCAAAAAACATTTTTTGGAAATTTTTGAATTCACCTCAATTTTGAAACATTTCTATAAGGCAAACAGCCAAATATGAAAATTGTATGATAAACTTCAGAATGTTCTATCTGTAAATCATTTTTAAAGTCCTCAAAATTCCTATTCTAAGTATTTTTAAAAAATTTTACAAAAATTGTAAAATAGAAAAAAATTTTAAAAAATAGAAATTTTTGAATTCACCTCAATTTTGAAACATTTCGATAAGGCAAACACCCAAATATGAAAATTGTATAATAAACTTCAAAATGTTCTCTCTGCAAATCCGTTTTAAAATCCTCAAAATTCCTATTCTAAGTATTTTTAAAAAAAATTACAAAAAATCTCTCCTCTATTAAAAATACTCATACGCACCCAAGGACAAATAACAAAAAAATTAAATATTCGCCGCATTATTGAAGCTAAAATTATGTTTCTTTTTGTTTCCAAATTTTAGCACCGTGCTTCTTCATAATCACAGTAAATTGAGGCCTATTAAACGCTTAGAGGTAGATTTTTTGAGGAAAACTTTTTTTGTGGAACCTTTTTGGTGTGAATCTGGGTTTTCTCTCAAAAGATACGTTTTTTACATATTGTAGTTATTTTTGCTTACAACATACCTCAATTTTGCTTTCTTCATGCCATACAATACCCCGGTAATGATCGTTTGCGATCGAAAGACGGACAAAAGAAAAAAATAACAGTTTACATTTCAGCAGAAGCCAAAAACTGCTACGTACCAACTACTTTTTTGGGTTTTTTTTGTTTGGACTTGTTCTTAATGTTCCGTCTATGTGTTTTCGTAAGGTTACTTTGCATTGTGAGCTTATGTTGAAGCCATTTGTTTCTTGGTTACTGTAAAAATGGCGTTACACTCAATGCACATGCAATGGACGTTCTCTTCCTTCCTGCCACCACCATCGACACCGCCGACGCTTAAGTAACAGAATTGTTTGGAAGGTTTGGTGTTTTTGGTTTATTTTTCTTGAAAGCCTTTAAAATGCATCTCTATTTAGAAATGTTTTTTTGTTGTATTCTGTTCGGTTAGCCTTAGCACAAATCAAGCTAAAAAATATCAAAGTATTTAAGCCGCAAAACTTTTTTTCTTTGTAACACAAAGCTTTTAGTATGCAACAAAGTGAAGCTAAGCCTTAAAGTAAAAAACACAACATTGAAGATGATGATGCCGACAAGGCTGCTTCTGCTGCTGCCAAAGTGTCTGAGCAAGGAAGTAGAGGGAGTTAACACACAAAATCTGAAAAATCATTGTTTAGGAAAGAAACAAAACTTCAAGTGCAAACCGCTCATCTTTATGCAAAAAATTTTTTTACAATACAACTTGTGTAATTTTGTACTAGTATTTCGCCAGACATTTTGTCTAGGCTGGTTTCCTACTACTTGGTGTTTTTTTGTTTCTTACAAATGTTAGGCTTCACTGGAAGTTGTTTCGATTTCCTTTGCTTAGTTTTTGTAACATTGTAGCAAAGCTGTTTTGTTTGTTGGATTTTCTTTTGATTGTTTTTTTGTGGAAGGGTTTTATCTTATCTTTGTCTTATTATTTACCCTCGCTGCAGATCTTTCAATGCCGCCGATTTATGCTTGATTTGCAATGTAATCAGTAATTTATAAACATCATATGCTTAAAATTTTACTTCAAAATGGGCAGCCATGGAATTTATGAGAAATCAGAAATAAAAATTAAATCCCCTACAGAAAATGATAATATGCGGAATTTATTGGGGTCTTGAAAATAACTGAGGTGGGGGGAAATATTTTTCTAAGAAACTAGATTGACTTGGCTTTTATTTGCCATTTAAATTGGGTGAAAATTCGTTTTGGAAGTATTTTTAAAAATTAATTTAAAAAAGTCCTACCTAATTAATAATACTTATACGCCGGGTGGTCCTAATTGTAAATTTTACCATTTCTAAGGGGTTTGTGGGGAGATTTTAAGTATTTTTTTGGAGAAATGAATTTTTTAGGAATTGATTTATTTTGTTTTGCAAGAAAATTGAATAGAAATTGCTTTTTAACACAAAATTTTAAATGAAGAATCGAAATGAATTTTATCTTAAAATCATTTTTTGGTTATTATTTGTATATTTTTTGTGTTTAGGAAATTTTAAATTTTACAAAAATAATTTTTCTATTAAAATTGAAGTCTTGGCTTTGTGTGTGTATTTAAAAATTGTAAAAATTATTTTTAGAAATAATTTAAATTGAATTTTTAATTAATTTTGCCATTAATTTATATCAATTATACGCCGGGAGTTACCATTTTCAATTCTTTTGATTTTTAGAGTTTTTAATGGAATTTTTGAAAAAGTTTTCATGGATTTGAAAGAATTTAAACCTTGGCTTTCATTCGTTGTTAAAATTGGAATAAATTTTTAATTGAATGTATCGAAAAATTGGGTTTAACATGGAGAATATAAATTTGCAGGGTATGGCCTTTTTTTGTAAATCCAATTTTGGGGGTTTTAATGAATTTTGTAAATTTTTTTTTTGAATGGATATATATAAGTTGAAACTGAGGTTTTTATTTGGTGTTAAAATTTATATATGTTTTTGATTGGAAGTATATAAAAATTGGGGATTAAAAACGTGAATAAAAAATCATATGCTTGGGACAACCAATTGATTTATTTTTAAATATTTTTTTTTAACTTTTTAATGAATTCATATTTTCTATTTAACAGTTTTAGAATCTATAAAGCCTTAGCTATTTGTGTGTGTTAAAATTTTAATGAAATTCCAATTGGAAATAATTTAAAAATTTAATTTTAAGAAATTATTTAATTTTTTGGGTCTATTTTGAATTTTCGTTTTTTTTTTAATTTTTTGGGGGATTTCGAAGTTTTTCTGTTTTTTTTTTTAAATCCTATCCTTGTGTTTTGTATAAAAATAGAAATTAAAAAATTTGTTTTCACTTACCGGGACTACCCAGGAAGACTGAGGAATATAACCGTCTTGAGGCATCGGCATTTCTAGTATCGGCGGCAGGTGATGACCATTCTCTTCGACACCATCGACCTGAAAAATAATGGAAACAAATTGTTAATTTACAATATAGACAACAAACTTAATACAACAACAAAATAATAATGAATAAAAAAGCAACAACAATAGCTACAAGGTATTTGCAAGCAAAGTTATGGGGTTTCTTTTTTTGGTTATTGTGGTAAAAAATATTTAAATCCCCCAAAGCCTTAAAAAACGAAACTGAAAAAAATATCAATATTTTGTTTTTTGGTTCATAACACTTGTCATGTTTATATTAAAAGGCTTAACATATCAGGCACACACTCTCACATACACACACAATATTTCAAATATAAATTGCCGCATAGATTTAAACAAAAATATTTTTTTTCGATTTTTTCCCTATCACATAAAATATTACTTAAAAATAAATATATAACACTTAAGCGGGTATTATAGATAAATATTGACAGTTTGACAAAGATATGAATTCCGAAAAAAAAATTATTTCAAACGTAGGTTGTTATTAATAATAAGAAAGAATATTGAAAAAAAAAATTATTATAACATAATAAGGTTTTGGAATAATGTCGTCACAGAGTCTGGCTTAGCAAACTCTTTTTTATTTATTTTTAATATTTTTTTCTTTCCAATTTTAAAACTTTGAATATTAAAAAAAGTTTTTTTTTTTGTTTTTGTACTTCAAGGTGTTACTGTTTATGGCCAATATCTGTAATAATCATGATCATAACGAAAGTCAAAACTCCGGCCTTATGCTTCTTGGTAACAAGAGAACCTTTGTTGTTGTTTAATTTCGAATGACGTTAATAATAATTTATTTTATAACCTTAAATGGCACATAAAAAATAAAACAACGAAACGAGGAAACAACAACCACAAATGCTAAATAAGAAAATTGGCATAACTTTTGAGGCCTGAACTTAAGGAGGGTGTTGTTCATCGACCCACCTTTGTTTAAGAAATTCCTTTACATATCCCCTCTTAAGAAATTTGAGCAGCAGTTCAACCACCCAGAAAAAAAGCGTTACAGAAATTAACTTTGAGAAAAAGAAAAAAATATTCCGCACAATGACTTCTATGAAAACTTAATGGCCAATTTTCCATTTTTTTATTTAATGTAATGTGCGTATTAAATTTAATGTTTTTATTTGGTGGGGTGTTTATGTGTGTGTGTGTGTCTGAGCTCAAAAGGAGAGACAGTGACAATTTTTTTCCTACTCGATTTTTTTTTTAATTTTTTTCGGTTTCATATTTTTTCTGAATAAGGAAGTGAATGACCCTGCTGAAAAAATAATTTGTTCTTCTTGTGGGGGAGTAAGGTTGTTTGTATGTGTGGCTTTTGAGGTGTGTTGTATTTTTTTCTTTATTTTTCTGGGTGTCATTTTATTGTGTCGTCATATTTCTTAATATAAATATTAATCAGTTTGTCTGTCGTTACATTACAAAATAAATATATGAAAATTGGTTCATTAGAGAGAAAGAAAAAGTTTTTTTTTTTTGGAAGGAAAAAAATTGAAGAGGGGGAGGTAAAAAAATTGTATATTAATATTTATTGCAAATGGAAAATTAAAAAGTATCAAATATTAGGGAAGAAATAAATGGGATTTTGTAATTTTAAAAAATTAAAGTAAAGTAAAAAAAATTCTAAAATATTTTATATTGAAAATATTCTATTTCAATATAAAATATTTTAGATTTTTTTCAACACATTTTTTTCAATTTTTAAATAATTTTTTGGATTTTTTAATACTTTTAGACTACTTTTTTCTTGTTTTATAATAAAAATATTTTTTAATTATTTCTTTGATATACACATAATTATAATTTTTATAATATTTAGTTTTAGTTATTTTTATTGATATAATTATTCACTTAGATTTTATTTTTTTATAATTTTATTTTTTATATAATTGTTTTTACTTTTTATTAATATTTTTATTTTATATATTTTTATTTAATACTTATTTTTTATACCACTTTATTTAATATATTCTTTTAATTTAATTATTTTATTTATTTGTATTTGCTTTTTAATTAATTTTTTATTTACATCCATTTTTTATTTATTTTTTTCTATTTTATTTTATTTTATTTTTATTTAATAGTATTTTTGTCTTACTTTTATTTTTAATTTTATTTTACATTATATTTTTTTAATTTTTTTTTTTTTGTATTCCTATTTTTTATTTTAATTTATTTAATTTTAATATTATTATTTTTTACAATTATTTATATTTCATATAAATGTTGTTTTTTCTATAATTTATTTTATAATTCATTTTTTTATTTTTTAATTGTATTTTTGTTTAATATTTTTTATTATTCAATTATTTTAATTCTTTTTTTTTTGTATTATAAAATATCGTTTTTATTTAAATTATTTTTTTAATGTGTTTTTATTTATTTTAATTTTCATTAAATATTAATAAATTTTAATGTATTTTCTATTTTTATTTTTACTAAATATTTTATTCATTATTTAATGTAATTTTTTATTTCAATTTTTATATTATTTTTATTTTGTGTTATTTTACATTTTATTTTTAATCAATTCTATCTATTTCAATTAATAATAAAAAATATTATACTATTTTAATTGATTTTTTATTTAATATAATTTTAAATTACCATCAAAATCAATCCTTCATCCATTTTACATTTCCCATAATTGCCGTCGCTACCTAGCCGCCTAATAAACCAAAAAAAAAATTGTGCATCAGAAGCAGCAACAACAACCCACCAACCAACCAATAATAATAATATTTTTCTTCTTGTCATTTAATAGACTCACGGTCACGACCCCCAAAAAAATATATATATGAAAATATTTCGCACATAAATCTTAATAATAATTCTTTTTTTGCCTGTATTTTCCAATTTCATACATGATTTTTTGCTTCAACATCGTATATTTTTTGATAATTTTTCCCCTCCAAAACAAACAAAACGGCTGCCAAACAGTCTACGGGAGCCAAACACACCATAGAAAACACTCCAAGCGAATTAACGCAAGAGAATATAAGAGTTTTGAAGAGATAAACGAGTATAAAAACAACAACAGCAGTGCACTCTCTCATTGCAAGTACGAATGAGTTATTTCCCCTACAACGTAACAACAGTAACGGCTGGCAGTAACTGTGTGTGTGAGTGGGGAATACTCTTCACACACAATGCCTGCTTGTTAAGAGTGCACTGTGCACAACACAACAGTAATTGGTGTGAGTGCAATTTACCGTATGAAAGCCTCTTTGCAAGAGAAAATGGTGTGAGCACTACAATTGGCAACGTATGAGTGAGTGTTTGTTGGGGAAGTTATGACACTAAGAGAGCGTAAAGTAATATCGTAAATCGAGAGGGGGTAATTTAAGAGTAATAAAATTGGGCTTTCAAGGCGTTCATTCATATTTAAAGGGAAATAAAAAGAATTAAAAGAAAAATTATAATTCTTTATGAAAAAAATAATAATAATTAATATTTTTTTTATAAATAAACAAATAAAAAAATTATTTTGTTTTTTAGTGGAAATATAAAAAAATTAAAATACTCTTTATTGAATATTTTTCCTTAGAGTTAATTTATATAATCATCATTTCAGCCAGACAGCCAGCCATTTTTCCATTTTGTATGCATTGTTGTTTTTGTTGTTGCTTCGTTGGGTTTTTGCGCGCCTCTTACTATTTCTAGTTGTTGTTGCTGTTTTTGTATTGATAGTGCAAGTTAAAGTAGTCATAGTAGTAGTGTAAGTTTTCCTGGCTGCCAACAAAAAGACTGATGTGTGTGAATTTTTCGTTGTTGTTGGTGTTTTTTTTCGTTTCGCGGGCTGTTGGTGTGCGCTTTTTTATTTTCATATGGCTGTCATGTGGTGGCCTTTAAAAATGGGTGGAGTGTCATTTTTCCAAATGGAATAACAACAACAAAAATGCTATTTGCTTGCTTGATTGTTGTTGTAACGAGACAACATGACTTTTCTTAGTTTAACACACTGCTATTTGGCTCATTTCTTAATTGAGTGTTGGGGAGAATATTTTTTTTTTCGTTTTATTGTTGTTGTTGTATACTTGTGCTTCTTCATCTTGATTTTGTTGTGAGAATTTTTCAAGAACAAGACGACGGCATTTTTTGTCGTGACAAAAACCGTCGCTTGATTTTTTTCTTTTGGAAAAATTTTAAATTATATTTATTTTTAATAGAATTAAAATATAATAAAAAAATTATAATATAAAAAAAAAATATAACAAAAATAAAAAAATATTTTTATTTTCAATTTTTTCCTTTGATTTGCTTCATTAATTTGTTTATTTTAAATTAGAAAAAATCAATGCCTCTTCATTGAAGACATTATTAGAATTTTTTTTGTTTTGGAATTTTTGGAGGATTTCTCTGTTGTTGTTATTTTTGTTGTTGTTGTAGTGTTTGTTTCTTGTTTCATTTAGATAAAATTGTATTTCGAAAGTGACAGTAAAAATGATTTATCACTTTTTTTGGTTGGGGTACGCTGGAATGTGTTTCTCACTCCCATTTATTTATTTTTTTGTTCTATGCTAAGCTAGAGATAGGCCACATTACATCTTTGTTTTAAGGGGGCAATTTCGATGGGACTTCAAATTATTTTTTTTGTACTTTTACGAAAATAAAAAAAAAATAAATTTTAAGGGAATTTTTGGTTTTTTTTTATAAGATACAAATGAAAGATTAAAGGGATTCTGAAATTTATTCTAATACTTTTGGGGGATAGAAATATATTTTTATTGAATTGAAAATTTTGAAATATATTATTTTGAACATTGAACATTTCATTGAATTAAACAAATTAACAAAAATAATTTTAATGATAAATTACAAATTTTTTGTAAAATTAAATCAAAATAATTTAATAATTAAGTTAAACTATTTTTACAATCAAGTTATTTTTTTTATAACAAGTAAAATTATTTTTAAAATCAAATTATTTTTTATAACAAAAATAAATTGTTTTATTATATTTTTTTAATTTTTAATTTTTATATATTTTTACTATTATATATTTTTAC